TTCATTTTTAAGGAATGGGCTGAAGTTGGACTTTGTTTTATGTTAAATAACATTTCAGTGAAGTTGATCAAATTACATGACATCAATATCACTAAATGTCGCAAAAATTAATGAGTCTTTAATCTGACCTGAACATAACTGGATGGCACTTTTCTGCTTTTGCCTAATCTGGGGGTCTTACTTCCGGGTGGCATTATTCCGGGTGGCTTTTTTCCGCCTTTGCCAATTCTGGGGGTCTTATTTCCGGGTGTTTTTTTTCCGGGTGGCTTTTTTCCTAAAACCCATTAAGCCACCGTCGCTTGCGCGTGCGAGGAAAACTTGAGTCGATAGAAACCCCTAAATCTCTCTCTCCGTTTGCATCCCCAGTTTATCTACGCCAAACGCGTTGAGAGGCCCACCACTATTTTGACCGACATGGAGAACTTTACACTTCCTTTTATACTTTACACTTATACTTTATACTTTTAACTTTACACTACCTTCCTCATGAGCCTTTTCTTGCTCCACTCACCCAAAAACCTCAAAACTCGCTCGGCTCTGGCCCTATCCACCCTTACAGAAAAATCTATTTGGTATCGTCGGAAAATTTACTAATCTTTCCCTCTACGCCTAGATCTACTGTAAATCGTTAATATATAAACAGAAGTGGTCCCAGGACCGAGCTCTAAAGGACACCGCTTGCGACCCCAACCTCCCTCGAAGCTTCCCCATTTACTCGTTGCTCTCTTCCCGTCACCGTTACTGATCCACTCGTTCGTCCTACCCTGGATCCCGTGCGCCTCCAGTTTAACCCATAACCTCGGGTGAGGAACGCTATCGAAAGCTTTCGCGAAATTTAATAGGCAACATCCACGGGATTCCCCTTATCTCTGTACCCAATCGTAGAATTCGAGCAAATTGGTGAGACAATTTCGATGCCCCCTAAAGCCGAGCTGAGAGTCCCGGATGAGCGCGTTGCTTTCGAGGAAATTCAAAATGTGGTCCCTTAGGATGCTCTCCATGATCTTCCCCAGAATACTTGTGAGACCACCTATAATTACCCGTAATTACTCTTTTCACCCCTCTTAAAGATCGATACGACGTTCGATAAACTGCAGCCCTTAAATACTTCACCGCACGAAAAGCTGTTTTTAAATATGATTCTTAGCGGAACCGGAATATCTCCCGCGAGTTCCTTGATGACTCAAGCCGGAATCCCATCGGGGTCGGTCACCTTACCCACCTATAACTTCCCTATCATACTTATGATCATCTTCCACGCTTCTTCAATCCTGTGTGAAGTCTATATTTATATCTTTCCATTTGAGGTTCATTCGTTCCTGCGTTTCTCAGTCCTACATTTGTCCACATAATCTCGAACTTGTCCCTTGAAATTTGGTCGTTCTTTCATTGAGTTTTCAATCTTTCAAAAATCAATCAACAATGTCCGGATTTACAACGGTCTCTTTGATGTGATTGTGCCAAGCAGAATGAAAGAGGCGGCGTTGATATCGGTGTTGATGACGGTGTGGATGGCATGCGATGGAAGGATCCTGACGCCAATCGGGGGGCACTTCCTTCAATCCCTGAAGACATCCTCCGATCTTGAGGACGGAGATAGAGGTGGAGGTGGAGGAGGCGTCATCCCGTTGGGTGCCCTCGTCCCCCTCAGAATCCGAGCTATACGGACTCGGGACCCCGACAGAAACGCGAGGAACGAGATGCCCGTGGAAGAGCCATTGCTGAAGTACGTGAGGTTCATTGAGACCCCAAGGGGATTCGATGCATATGTCTCCTTCCACGACGACAATGAAAGCAATCGAGTGTCCCGTCCAAAGATCACTACCACGACCTCCCGCCCTTGGTTGGCTCCTTTTCGAGCTAACAATCACCTTCAGCCTGCCCGGCGTCAACTCGTCTTTCGCAAACCCATATCTTCTGTTTGGGTGAAATAAAAACCTAAATCTGGGCCAACAACTGAACTTAATTTCTACCTTTCTGTCGAGGATGCTGCTCATAAAATATGAAGCCATTGAACTAGGTATGACGCTCCGGCACACCGAGAGTCGACGTGTGATACCATTATAACTTCATTTAAGGAAAGAAGCGTTTTTTTTTTCTCCGTCAAGCATGAGTGGACGATGGATATCGTTCCAAGTCAATGTAAAGTGTTTCCTTTTCCTTCAACAGACACAGGCAAAAAAAGAGTTTAATGACAAAAAAGATGGCATGAACTCACGTTGGCATTGGTAACCTTGCTTCCCAAAGCCCCTGTAAGATACATTTAAAAAAATAAACCATCACTAGACCATTCTTTGTGCAGTAGGATGAAAGAGAAGATATGTGAGGGCAGAAATGGAAAGATACCAGAGGAAATCCCTGCAGAAGGCGCAGAAGGTGGGTTGTCGAAAGAATTTGGCGACGAACTTGTGACCTTTGACCTCGTGGACCTTTTGATGCTTGATGGCTCCTCGCCTTCTCGCCAGCCCTCCGCCATGCCGCAAAAACTCCTCGTCCAAAAACCACCCTGCACATCCCATCCAAACATCTGTCACATACGATACAATCGGCGTAACTTCGCTTATTTTCGGAATGATTTCTACTTCTTCGAACCCAGTCGATGAATTTACGTTGAAAATTTCGAAGTAAATTAGAAAATTTGCAACATCTATCTGTGTTGAGCGTCAGGCTTTCCATGGCATTGCAACATAGCAATGATCCCCACCTCCTTTTCACCCACCCCTAAGTCTTTCTTTTTTTCAACCTTTTGGGAGAGTCATGCATTGCCACCCGCAAAGCATCACAATACAGACCTGTAACTGACGAAAAACCCGCCGAACAGGCGGGTTTTTCATGAAGCGCGTCCTTTTCCTTAGCAACAGCTGCTCGAAGCAGACGCCTTTGCAATGCGCGCGTGATGTCATCGATTACATCATCAAACCAGCGGAACTCAACAGAACTCAGAGCTGCTGAAATTTGCGCTCCTTTCGCATCGTCATACATGCAGCCTGGGAGCAGACGAAACATGAAGATGTCATTCCTCACGTCCCTGGGAAGATTTCCACGTCCTCCGGAATTGAGAGGACAGGGGGAGAATTCACATGCCAGAGTCACATGATCGTTTTTTCCCCCCGAACAGAACTGTGACGTAACATCCCTGCGAGACCCGCGAGATGGCTGAGTAATAAACAAATAACAAAGAGCAGGTGCTGTTCAAGGGGTAATAAAATATTTTCCGGGACCGGTGACCAGTACGTAGAGATGTCTCCTCTCCTACGTATCTTGCTTTGGGTCTTGGGGTGCACAGTCTTACTTAAATTTATTACTGATTTTCATCTGAATTTTTTTATTTTTTATTTTTGCAACGAATCCGCGAGTCGGCCAGAGTCCAGGTATGCCAGAAGATGTATCCCGAATGTTAACTCCCAGAGGAGTTAACATCCGGGATTTCTTCAATCATCTTTAAAACATGCCTGAATATGCATTGCCTTATGATGAATCCTACGGTGTACGACAATCCAACAACGGAAGAAAACTAAGAAAGATACAAAGATTTTTTGCGAGAGAGAAAAGAAAGATTTCTTATAAAACTTAGCCTCATGTCATAGTGCTTATGTAATGCAATATCTGTTTTACGGGGGTTACTCCGAAAGTTTTTTTTCGGAGTGAGTTGAATAGTGTGGCACGTGAAGGGGCTCGGTCTATTAATATCCTTATCATTTCATCGAGGCAAGCATCGCCTGACAAGCCTCTCTTCCAGGCGTAAAAGATGATGGTACAAAGGGGATGGCGGGTCAGTCAGCTATGGGAAGAATCACCGTTCACGAAATGTTGCAATCTGATGTAATTTAAAGTGCTTCAAGGTGACTTAAACCCAAAGAAGGCCTGAAGGCATTCAAGACACGTTTAGGTACCGATAGCAAGGGATTGCCTTCTGATACCCAAATCGAGAACAGGGGCCTGTTCCTCGCCTCTGCTAAACTTAAATCTAAATCTAAATCTAAATCTAAAAGCAGTCTAAAAGCAAAAAGTATTTTCTTCGCCCTAACCCTTTAGACAAAGATTTAGATTTAAGTTTAGATTTAAGTTTAGCAGAGGCGAGGAACGGGCCCCAGGACTAGCCACCTGAAATAAGCCATGAAGAAGCAAAAGCCTGGTTCTAACAATTAGAATGAGTTTGTTGCTTAGTTCAACCTATTCTAGCCAATTAGCTTTCCGTGAATGAGTAATAAATAGCAAAGCCATTCCAATGCTTTCAAGTTGACATACCGACGACATTAGTTAGAAACTCAATGGGTAAGGCAACAGCGGACTGAAAGGACTGATATCCCAGACACCTCCAAAGTAAGGTAAAAGTCACGAGTCCATGCGTTAGAAGGAATATATTGCAGAATGATAAACAGCTTTGCTAGACCGACAATTGCTTACAGAAAGTAACGAGCTGTAGAATGACGATGATGAAGCTAAGTGATGGTGAAAAAGAACAGACGAGTTTGTCGAAGAAGGACGAGCGTGAAGGAGGAGGACACATTAAAAAGAAGAAAGATGACCGTTACTGGCCAGATTAGCCTCGACCACAGTGGTGAGGGTGGTCAACTTTGAGGGGATACAACATTACTACGACCACTATATCTATAAGGAAAACCTCGCCAAAAAGTGCCTCAGATCAAACCCTACAAATCAATATATTTCACTCCAACTGTTCCGGATTTACGGATCCGGCGTGGATCCCACTCACCACAAAAGGCCAAAATTCTGATTGACTCACGGATTCGTTGAACTCTCTGACCTAGTTGCAAAAATAGGTGGGGAGTCTGAAAACCGAAATGTAAATTTAGAGAGCCATGAAATTTTTTGTTATAACAGTGTAGTACATGTCCAATTCAGGAGTGCAAGTACATTAAGCAAGGTACGCGTTCACTAAACAGCGTTTTCCCGACACCTCTGAACGTATTCCCCCCAAGTCAAAAGAGGTCAGAAACGAAGAAGGTCCCCAATTTAACAGCTCTCTCAGTACCCGCTTCCTCGGTCTCACTCCACGTCACAGCTAGAAATAACTGGCCTACCTCGAACCAGAGGCCCTAATCATTGAATTAGGGAGTCATTTCTCCAACAAGGCAGCTACTCCGCGATTCCTGCGAGAAGAGAGGCTCGTATCCACGACCAGGTTCTTTTCCTATTTGTACATATATTTTACCATCGAAAACTCCGTAAGCTCCAATGCTTCACTTGACTTTTCTGTCTTCGCAACGTTCCTTCGTTGTGGCAGTTCTTTCCCGTTGTTCGAAACTCGACTGTGTTGAGAAAATGAACCCCGCCCATAGAAATCACCGTTTTAAATGTCCGTCGGTTCCGGTCATCCCACCCACTCCTATCTTCGATCTATCTTGCCATAATATATCCAATACTGAAGCTTAAGTTCTATGAAGGTCTAACTTTTTGCCCTTCACCCATTATGACAAACTCGAATAAGGTATGGCCCTCCAATAATTCTCCCAGATCCTCCGCCTTCAAAAATGGTTCACACTCACAATCCGCCCCTAAAAAACGATTATCCTTTCCAAGATTTCAAACCCCCTACTTCTTTCAATCCACCAGCTGGTCGTAGCCCACCTCACAATGACTTTCTCAAATTGTTGCAAATCTACCTTTCGAATCAACAGTTCCCTAAGACAATTACATTCATACAAGAGTACGACGCTTTGCTCAGTTGGAAGAAAAATCATTCGATCGTACTTTAAAAAGCAGGCAAGGGCTCATCAATTGTCATCCTATTCCGCTTTAATTACATCTCTAAACCAAATGAGCATCTTGAGAACAAATTATTCTCTCAAAAACTCAGCTCTGACCCTACTCAACGCTTTGTCTCTGACATCACTGACTTGGACTTCCACGATGAGAATATTTAAGTAAAGTCCAAAAAGAGCCTCATTCCCACCCGTCCAAAACCTGGCATCTTCTAAAATCCACAAACCTGACTGTTCAGGACTTCCTATCGTCAGCTCCATTGGCACGGTGACAGAGAGAATCTCACATTTGGTGGATCTCCATCTAGCCCCTCTTATCCCTCTTTACCATCCTATCTCCGCGACACTAGCGACTTCCTTTACCAACTGGAGCTCATTAATCATGACAAGCTGCCACCCAATCTTGCTTTAGCCACCACCGACGTCCAATCGCTTTATACCGTACGTCCATTCCTCACGATGATGATATAAAAGCATGCTCTCACTGCCTGAACAAACGTGTCACCCCTTTGATCCCTACTACCATCATCATCGACCTACTTACCTTCTCTTTAACTCGTAACAACTTCCATTTCAACAGCAAAAGTATCTCCAAATTCACGGAACGGCCATGGGCTCCAAATGTGGATACAGTTAAGCTAGTCTTTTTTATAGGTAAATTTGAAAAGGAAGTCTTGAAGAAAAAAAAAGCGCCCTAAAGCCCTTTAATTGGTTTCGTTTAATAGATGACTGTTTCTTACTTCGGCATCATGGTTAAGAAAACTTCCTTGCTTTCATAAATCTCCCGAATTCGATACTACCTCCTATCAAATTTACCTACACCTGAAACATTAGTAAATATCCTTGATTGTAAGGCATTAATTTTCAATAGGAAGCTTTCGACTGACCTTTCTCCAAACCTACCGATACTCACCTTAATCTTCCCGTCCTGTCAGCCCCTCTCTCTTAAAAAGTCTCTCCCTTGCAGTCTTGCCACTTCTTTGAAGCATCAATTTTCTTGATGCGCCTTGAGGAACTAAAGGGTTTTCTTCGTATGCATGGCTTCCCAATTAAAGTAATAGAAGTTGCCTTTTCCAAAGCGCGGATCATCGCCCGTTCCGACCTCCTTAAACCAGGAATTCTCTCTCCCGAAAGTCCGCAATCCAGATACTACCCCACTGCAAGACTTTCCTTTATGATTTAGTCCAAAACCGTAAACATTCGTAGCATCCATGTTAAAATTCGTGAGTTTCAGCTTTTCAATGACTTTAGGGAGTTCTTCCCCAATCCACCCATAAAAGCCTAAAAAAGTATGTCGGCCAGACGGGTAGGCCGTTCAGTGATCGCGCTAAAGAACTCATTGGTTAGGCCAAGCTGGAGACCAACCTACCGGCTTACATTTTAACACCACCACTGCCTCGAAGATCTTTCCATCCTACCTAAAGATCTCGTGAATCTCCCCAATCCACTCTATCGCGACGTGAAAAATTCTGGATAGACAAGCTGAAACCCGCCATAAACTCCATAATCTAGCCCGGTCGCCTCTTCCCTCCTTTACTCCCCTCCCCTCCCTGCCCGTCCCACCTATCTTTCATCGCTTCCTCATTGTACTTTCTGCGCTTTCTTTTGCTTTATGACTGTCTTTTCTCTTGCATCCGTTTCACGTTCTCCCTTGGTTATTTTATTTTTTCCCTCTCTTGTCTCTCTTTCGAATCTACCATTTTCATTTCATCTTTCATCTGGTTCTTTTCATGCTCTGGAAGTGCTTGTCAAGTAAGGATGATCTTTTTTATTACACCCGGAACTACATCCCCCGAAGGAGAGTCTGACAGCCTCCGCTATCGAAGTATCAGCTTTCAAATAATACTCATCTCTTCAAGTCAGGCCCCTGGTTGAACCATCTTTCTTCGTCCACAATTGCCAAAAGTCTCTCTGGACTGTTTAACCAGTATAAATAATGCTTTCATAAATTCGAGTGTCTTTCTCCATGTTTTCTGTGGGAAAAGATCACGTACCGCATGAAAAGAACTTGGAATTTTTAGCTAGTCACTCCCTGATACCTCTGAAATAGCGGCTATTTAAGCGCCATATCACTTCATTTATGGGAACTTTTTCCGAATAACTGAGATAGATTGCTCGCCCGCAGATAGGTCAAGTGTTGGCCGACGCACTAGCGCCGAAGTGAAGCCTACCTGCATGGGCAGCCCACTGCGATGTCGGCCCACGCTCCTCCACTCACAGCCAACGTGGGCCCAACATGATAGGCTGCCTGGGGTAATCTACTGGTCCATTCCTGTCAAAAACGAGGGGCCATTCATCCCTCATGTATCCAGATGCATAAGTATAGCCGGAAGGATATGAATATATTTTCATGTTTCGATACTTTTTTTTTCCCTCCTATCCATCATTTGCTTTTGTGAACATCAACACATCCGTATTTTCGGCCAACTGATGACAAAAATGTTGCGAGATCGTAGAATTATACTTTCCTTGTCGACGAGGGGAACCGTATGCAAGATACAGCCAAAAAGTCGCCATTTCCTACAGCACAGATGAGACACAAGTTGGCACGAAGATCGTTGGGTGAGGGAAATTGGGCACTAGTTTCTTCATAATTGCGACCGTATGCCAGTTCTTTCTCAAATAGGGTAACATGCATTTTATTTTTCGTTTCCAGTACTAGAGAATCAGTCACTCTTGTAATTTGAGGGTTACCTCACGAGTGAGTATCCGGTGGGACAATTTCTATATTTATCTCAGGCGTGGCTCGCAAGCCACATGGTATGTAGGATGTCCACAAATTATGCATACAATTTGCAAGTCGTATTACTTGGAAACCAATGATCATAGAAAGGTGAAAAAAAACAAAAATATGCAGAAACCCTTTACGTTTTGTGTCGCATGGATACCAAGTTCGCATTCATTCCGCTGCTGGCGCTGAAGCCACGAAATTGAAAATGGAGGATTTCACGGGAGTTGAGAAAGCATAGTGCGTTCTTGGCTTAAAGAAACACGTCCTTCTCCACAAGTGAAACATTAGAAAAAACACGTTCTGTTGCGTTTCTGTACGAAACGTCGTTTATGTACGAAGCACGGGATGGGGCCTCCGTAAAGACCAACTATTCGTGCTCAGCATAAACAGGTCGTTGAATCTAGGCGTCTTCATCACCGCAAAGGTGCCAGAGACCGAGGATCGGCGAGGACACAGTTGAGAGGGTGTGGGCTGCTTTTCGGTCTGTGTAAATCCACCCGTCAAGCCAACAAAGAACTTCAGTTACCTAACGCAACACTCTGGATAATTTAGTCTAAAATGCTAATGTTGAGGCCAAACAAATTTCAGTTGTTGTAAGCCGTGAAGATGAGAAAGTGAAGTGGTTCGATTTCCCTGTTTGTTGTCCCCGCATAAAAGAACTTTTACGCCAACTATTAATGGGTGGTCTTTAAGGGGGTCTCATTCCGTAATTTGCATGTAAACGACGTTTCGTACAGAAACGCTACACTTGCGGAGGAGAACGTGTTTCTTTAAACCAACGAACGTATTATGCTTTCTCAACTCCCGTGAAATCCGCCATTTTTGTTATTCTGGGTTCAACGCCACCAGCGAAATTAATGTAAACTTGGTATCCATGCGGCACAAAACTTAGTGTTTCTGCATATTTTGGCTTTTTGTTTCACCTTTCTATGATCATTGGTTTCCAAGTAATACGACTTACAAATTGCATACATAAATTGTGAACATCCAGTATCTGAGGCAATGAAACAAGTCTGAACGGAACTCACGAATAATTTTTTAATATGGTAGTAAACGCAGATTGGCGCTAATTGAAAGCAAAAACGAAATAGTTAAGGGAATACTCACCATCGTCTCCTGGCCGATGGTACTCCGGGACTCGGGGTTTCACCCCAGGTCTCATCTTCACCTATTCGAACGAGACAAGGGATTCGTTAAAGGTATAGGCCTACCTGGATGGGTAAGAAATATTTTTCGCAACAGAGAGAGATATTGTATATAAGCAACAAGTTAATGGCATAAGAATGGAGCAGGTCTCACCCCGAAGAGCTCGGGCTTAAGAGCTGGCTGTGTCACGTGAAACATGCACGATTTCCTAACAGAAGCTAATCGAGTTCCGTCCCATGGTATTCAAATGAGACGCATCGTCGTTGGAATTTCGAGACTTATTCGCGTTTCGCACGAATGAGTTTCGCTGGGCAAACAGAAAGAGCGTTCAACGCGATTCAGAGCAGTCAAACCACTCGACTGAAAAAGCTTGAAAGATAGTCCTGGTGCAAAGCAATTGGAAGTGGCCAATCCATTTCTCCTGACTTTCGGTTGACTTCGAAGACGGAGCGGGTTTACACATGCGCGAAAGTTATTCTCGTAAGGGGTCCTTTCCATAGATGACCTGTATTTATGAGACTTCTTCCAAGAACTAGCGTCAAGCTAGTGACTAGCTTCAAGTAGAGGCTTGATGCCTTCAACAACAGCAAAAAAAATTGGGAACAGCGTAGCTGCAAGGGACCAGGCATTAGGTAGCCATGCTCTCACAAAAATATCTATCTCTAAGAATATAGGCCTATCTTATGATACATGATGAACGCTCCACCTCGATTCAGGACGTCATATTGGGCGGATACGCCTCCCGCCGCCCATGTCCGAACCTTGAACAAATGTAGTTTTACATTTTCATGCGAGTGCGCAAAAGTACGGTTGGCACGCTCCCGCGAATACCACTGTATATTCGCAGGTGTAAATCCGCCGTTTCACATCCCGAGAAGCGGGAACCATTCGACTCCACCTGTGATCGCGAGTGGAAAAGGAAAGAATGGGACGAGAGACGAGGACGAGGGAGATCTCAGGTGATAGCTTAGTGACGTGGCGCCCTTCCCACCTACATTCAACTAGTTGTACGATGATAGGGTATAGGAGACAGGAGAGGGCACAGAAAGAGATAGGGCAACTGGAAGACATCACGGCTCTGCCTCCTCGCTCAAGGCAATCATCACTATATATTTCTTTCCTGCCATCCATGGGAAGGTGAACCATGCTCGAGCATAAACAAAATTCCTTCTGAAGTTCCCCATGGATGTGTGACCATCGTGGAAATCGGCAGGAAAAGAGAATCTGAATGCAAGCTCACCCCCACCTTCAGTACTACAGCTTTGCAGTCTGCAGGCGGAGGTTGCTTGCTTTCGCAGACAACTAAATCACGAAGCTTATTCTACATTGTATACTTCCAACGACCTCGTCTGATGAGTAAGCAGACTGGATTCCCTCACTTAGAACCAACGAAAGAGCCATCTCTACTGTTTGAAAACCTCGATGTACTAGTCCTCGATCGAGATGTATCGGGTGTCGTACACCGTATCCTGTCATTGACCTCATTTCATAATGAGCATCGATGGGAATGAGATCATCCCGGCAAATTGATTCTTGTGGTTTCCATCAGGAAATCAGATCAGTTTAAGTTTAACAGATGTGGTGCATGTGACCAATTGAGCCTAAAGTTCGCGTGTCATCGGATCTGTAAAACATTTTCAGACTGTTTCATTCCTGTCGCTGTACGCGTGGGTTGCATCATCGGATCCTCAGGTCACACCGATCTCTAAGATTCCAATGTTTCAGGCATCCGTGAACATTGACGGACTTCAGGACGGCCTTCACTTTCTGAAATGCCGAATCAATAATTATTAATAGTTTCCGTTTTATTTCCTCGTAAACACTTATCCAATATCGTACATTACAGAATGAAGCCCTTGGATCCACGAATGAGCTCAGAGACGAAATGACCCAGAAAATGAAAAGTCCTAGATTAAGGAAATAAACGTCTTCCATGGATGACCTCTCTCCATGCGATGATTTAGGTGGAAAGAGGAAAATGGGGATCCTCTCACTCGCACTCGATCTCCACCTTCGTTCTCTCATGCAACAATGGATCCGTAGGAAGGCTTTGCTTTTCTCTCTTCTCTCAGATAACTAACATAACGAGTGACAGGTGAGGACACGAATGAAGACGGGACTCCTGTCTCTAATTACTGTATATATTGGCAAGGTGATGGGAGGGACAAAAATGAGCCTCCTTCACGGCACGGAAGCATGGAATGCTTAAGAAACGAAGACCTGGATGTCATTCGCTTTGGAATGGCATCCGGTGTGACTGGACATGTAGATAACGCTCGAATCTTTTTTTTCCAAACCTAATACTTCTCCAAGCTCAAGAACTATTTTCCTCTCAAGACGAAGATTGCATATATGGTAGGCACCGTCTCTAAATGGATATCAGCTGTGTTCTGTTGCGGACCAGCTGACCTGCTAGCAATCGAAACGGAAGCGCATTCCGTTGTATGCACTTAAAGACATGGTTTCGATGCCAAGAAACAGGAGCTACTTCTAATATTTGTTTTCTTGATCAAAAGAACACGGTGAGGCCATTGGACCAAAGATGGAGCGATGGAATTCACCTCCGTCGAAGGGGCTGCTACTGCACGCCGACGCTCATGCTCCGAACGATAACTGGATCCATTGCTTTGCCCTACCTTTTCTGTTTTCCAAGAACTATGGAGTCGAGAGAGATACCTGATCGGCATGATAGGAGAGGCGAGGATGATGTTGATTGCGATGGCAATTCTTGCGGTGACTCGAGGCACTGCGCTTCTTCCCTGCATTCCCTGTGAACATCATCTTGATCTCGCTACTCCCTTTCTTTCTCTCGATCTCCACTACCGTCATTGGACGATGTCGATGATGACGACGACCTCTTCGCGTTCACATTCGCATTCACTCGCACGCACACAGGGTTCGTGGAGGGGGAAAGAAGCAGAGAGAGGAAGTGGAAGGGGGCTTTTGCTTGGAATCCCCTGCCAAGACTCACTGTCGGCATTCTTGGCATCTGCCCCAAACGAGAGATCTCTTCACGGCACACGCGTGACACGGGAAGAGAGGAAGTCCCAAAGAAGCCAAACTCTGCCTCTTCTTCGGCCATTCTTTTCCCCTCGTTCTCCCATACCCGGCAGTGAGCCCAGAACGGACGGCGTTAGCACGTTCTACAGTGGATGGCGTGAAAAGAGCAGATAGATGGGGGGAACAACTATCCCGCGCTTTCCTCCCTCTACCACTGCAACCCTACCTCAAGTTTTTCTCCATGCATGTAAAATGCTGAAAGGATGACGACGGTGACGATTTATAACAGAAAGGATGCTGGATGAATGCTACCGACAAATTTAATATAGAGATGACGCTAATGAAAGGGAGAACTGGCCAAATAGAACACCGCGACAGTGTGATATGATAACTTTAACAGAGCCTGGTATCAATCGAAATTGTTTAGAACTCCACGCACGAATGAAAGAAGAAGGCTAGGCAACATGGCCACAAGCGCTTCGGTTGGTAGTTTTGAGCATTCTGATTTAATTAGGTTAAGTTATAACATCAGGATTTATTTTCCTGTTCTGTTCACGAAACTTTCATCTACTTGCTAGGCCAGACAACCAGTATTAAATCGCATGAGAGCACATTTACGGGATCGTGATTGTCCTGAGACACGACGATACTATGGTTTGTGAGGCTTCAACACTTGTCTCCCTATGACAAGTGATTTTTCCGGCTAATTACTATTGTGGTCAATTTCTGGAATGCGCAACGCTACCTTTAAAACTCATTCGACTTAGTTTCCTTTGGTCTGACGTGCGACGTTTCCGTCATCAACCGCAGTTGAATATAGAAAAAGGAATAATATGGTAAGGAGTTATCAAATACACTACCTTGGAAGTTCAAATGTTGACAAATGAATACTGCACTTCAAAATGCAACATCTTCTGATAATACTGATTATTTTAGACATATGTTCGAAAATCTACCCTTAATCATTAATTGAGAAGAGAAAGGAGTGAGGAATTGGGAGAAGAAGCCATTACAGCCGGATAGGGGAGAAAGAAAAAACTAGCCTCAGGAGTGTCTTTTGTCTCGTCGTCGGTGTTCTTTCCCCGTTCCAAATACATGTCGTATGGTCAAAATTCGAATGCGTTAATCGGAGAACCTAAGAGCTCCCGCGGAGTTGTGTGGTTGCCCGCGGTCCCGCTTGGCCCATGTCGAAGATGTGCCCGAGGAACCCTCTGTGTTGGGGGTGTGTTTTTTCGTCTTCAGGTCACGCTGCTGCATCTTCTGTCTGTTCGCTGCACTCCGTGTGTCCGTCGTGTCCCCCTGGCAGTTGGCATTTTGTGCTACGTCTTGCGGACGCTCCTATTTGCCCTGAGCTGCGAGTAGGACCTCTTCTTTTCCTGCTATCGTTTCCAAGTGGTCGTTCGTCTACGACCCTTCAAGGAGGCCCTGTTTAACCACGCGTCTTGTTCTGCCTCTGATTTATCTGGAATCCTTTTCGAGGACCTAGAGGTCTTATTTTGAAGTCGTCCTTTGCCACGTCTTCATCTCCCCTTTGTAAGTCAAGTCATTGTCAGTCCGTGATACGCCTGCCCTACCTTTTAACTTAAAATCATATATGAAATCATGCTTGTTTCTTGTTGCTGAGCACCGTATTTCATTCATCAGTCGTCCCCTAAGACAGCTTGTCCTGTCAGTGGAGTGAAGTCGGACCCTTTACTTTAGCCTAACCGCTCGTACTAAATTATTCATTTTCCCTTGTTTTCGGCCTAAATTTAAACGGCCTCTTTTAAGGCCGTTTATACGACATACATATGTATTTCTCTCTCATTTCGGACTCAGCGGAGATTTTTTTTTATACCTACGGCGCTTCATAGACCCCGTGTTGAACGAGCCGTTGGATAATCTAGCGATTTCACCACCTACTTGACCCTTTCGAAGGGCCTTCCGCTATACAGAGATGGGGAGTAGTAAGTGGGTGAGATATGCGCAATGTACTCTATGCTGCCACCCCCTCCGACCTCAGTTGCGTGTGCTTCTCGGTCTGTTGAAGGTATTCTCCCGTCACTCATAGTAACCGATCAAGGGGGACTGGGCCTGAGAAACCAAAGATGCAGCATGATTCAACTACGAATCTCACGTCTAGTCTCGACTTGGCCACTTCCCCGAAAGATTGGAGAAGCAGTGGAGTCCTCAGATCATCCGATGGCTGAGCACGAGATTCTATGGGCTCCCTTGATTTTCCAAACAAACGAAAATATCACTCGTGTTCCAAAATCTCGTGATTGGAAGCCCGAAAAATAAATTTATAAATAACCAAAGGGATGAGACATTTTAAGGAATGAAAATGCATTCAAAGTGTTACCTACATCATAATATGAACTACAGTAGATTCGGACGCCTGCTCAAACTCACATGCACACAAGAGAGCCAGCAATCGAGTCCAGAGAACACATCCAATGTTAATCCGATCCGAGAAAAAAAAAAACCAAACAAACTAGATTAGATGAATTAAGGTTACCATACATCCCATTCAAGATAAACAAAAAACAGAATAGTTTATTTCTCCACCAAAGCTCATCTGCATACAGGAAGACACGTGAGAATGAAAACTCCGCACAAAACTGCAAAATTTTCGTTTACGAGGCTCTCCAGCGTCACCTTGGGGAGGAGCTGCTTGGCGTACCGTACATTACAACTTTATTTGAATGAAGGGCTTTACTTTCACCTTTGAACAAGCGTTTGAAACTATAAAACCACGCTGCTCGAGCGCGTTGAAGGGGGTGGTTGAGCCGCGCGCCTGTGAACCGTAACCGTAACTGATCCGTGTGACCATGGTTGGCTGCTCGCACGACGGGATGAGCAGGAATCGGGAGTTCCCGAGTAACTCGTCCTCGTGATTCTCCCAGAAAGGTGTGCTTTCGTTCCTCGGCGAGGGCTACATGGCATTCGTTGGCAGTTTCACTCAATTTTCTGATATCGTCCCTGTTTCAAGTGATAAAACCCGCGTGCACGAACGTCTACTCAGTGTTCTTGCAGGTACATCCTTCAGAAGTCCCTAAAACTCTCTGTACAGCTCTGTATATGGCTTGTGGACCTAAACGAGAAAAATCAACCCAACAGACATTTCTAATCCGCACTCTCAAGCAACGCCAACCGTGAGAATCCGAATCACGACTTGTAGGTCGACGGCACAAGTCGTTAGCCTATTATTTTAAAATAAAGCACTTTTTATTTCAAGAAGTCACTCTATCGCAAACTCAAAGGCGATGATCTGATGAGCGAGACGTAAATGGAAATTAATGGAAAACTCATGAAGAGAGAGGCCTTGTAGAAATCGCATCTATATCTAAACTTACAGTCTTCTTGTATCAGTGACGTGCTGCACCATCAAACAAAAAATGCCAGCAATATGAGGGTTAAGATAGACCAGTATGGATAACTCCATTCAACTCTTCTTGGTTCGGAAAGTTCGCACTTTGATGCTTTCCCACATACAATCATTGTGTCCAGGTTAAATTACAGATAGCGACGCGTCCAGGAAGTGATGTCATCATTCATATGCGGCAGCATGATGAAAGTGAGACGCCTAAAGCAATACTTTAGAATTCAGAATTTCTTTTGTATCCCTTTCGAGTTCGACTCTTTCACGCGTCTGAGGTAGCGGGAGTCAACCAAAAAAAAGAGTGGCGTAAATAAGATTTTGATGAGGGGACTGGACAAGAAGCTGAACCTCAAAACTGTCTTGGAGAGCACTTCTTGATATACTGTACTACACTTTCGTGCGTGGCAGACAAGGCAGTTGGAGCTGATCAGACAACACTAACAGTACTTTCTAACATACAGATGGTGTAGAAAACCAATTTCAAGTGCTTCACGGCAGCAAAAAATCGTTACTCGAACGAATTAAAAGTCAATAGGATAAAAGAAATGACACGGAGTCAGTGACCCTTTCTATAAAAGTGCATCATAAGCAAGAAAATACTACTCAGGATGAATAGGAAGAAATCACAGGCTCTACTTCCTCCATGCTTTGCAACACTGATATGCAACTTTAACCATCCGCTTCTGCTATGATGTGGAGTGTGCAGTGACGGTGGTCCAACTCCAATGCAGGAGGATGGGAGGGAATCATTCACAAAGCCTTACTCGATGCGCCTTCCAGTTCCACCATTCAAGTTTTGTGCATTGGATTGTCGAGTCCTTCAGCTGCTTTACTATCGGTCCATATGGCCCTTTTGGGTAGGTCATCATGCAAATGGAGCAAAGCCTTCACTCATCTTCCCAATAACATGAAAAAGGATGGCACATGATCTCCATCCTCTGATAAGTCATTGAAAGGGGGGGGAGAAGAAGATGCATTGTCCAACACCAATCCAACATAGCATTCCTGCACAAGCCAGCAATTTCCCATTTATTCATTTGCAAAAAAAAAATCACTCACACTGGTAAATAGTCAACCAACAGAATGAGCTTTACTTCTTATGCCATACAGAGGCACTCACATATACTGAGATAATCAAGGAAAACCCAGACAAAGTAACAAGGCACTCCTGAATGAATAGCAAAGAGAAGAAAGAGATATTACTGAATGTGCTTTAGTTCTTTGTGGACACCACCTGCCTGATGCTAAAGAAACACATTTATTTATGTATGCACAGATGCGATTCATTGACCTAAAGACAAATCTCTCCAATAAATTATTCAAATTTCAACATTTCAAGATATTGCATATTGCAGGATTGATGAAAAGAAAATATGGAAGCCAGACCTAAGGGTGGGCTATCCTGCAATGACAACTTGAAAATAGGGTATATGGAAGAATACACACCTAACTCCCAACTTGGTCCAACACACTTGTGTTCTGAAAGAAGGCCCACTAAAGAAAAATCTTTAAAAAGGAGAAAATATTCAAGGATAGCATCACCAACAGACAGTAAACAAGATAATGCCCATCTGGATGAGAGGATCAAGATTTCATAGCCTGTTTGATTCACTCTTACTACATGCTCAGCCTGCCACTCCATATGCCACTTGGGAAGGAAATGGGAAGTGGGATGGATTGCATGGTCAATAGAGGTGAGGAGACAATGCCAAGTCCACACTGCTGATACACAAGCACATGTGTGTAATGTTCCAATGACCCTCTATAAATCAGTGTTAACTCTGAGACAACTTCATTCAAGGTCATTTTCATTCCTCATCTACCTCCCACTTAAGTCTTAAATTCAGACTTAACATTAGCTGCATGGTACTGGTGAGGCAGGGCATCTCAGGTTTCAAGTATATTATATGATGAATTTCAAAGAGGAAACATTGGTAATAACTTGCCTGCTTTTATTTCCTCCTGTCAGTAACTTCACCTGTCTCCTCAGCTCAGGTATCATAGAGAGGAATTTTGTAATGGCATGGATTCGCACAAAAATGACTAACCTCTCTGCTGAGTCAAGAACCAATGAAACCCTGGATCCTCATAGGAACCAGTGACATCTGCTCCCCACCCAAAAGATTTGGCTGAGGAAAATGTGACACAAGCTGCATGTGTCTGCCACTTGGTCAACATTCTGCATGTGCACTTGCATACAAAGCAACTGGGAGAGACAGTATGTACAGTGCACTCACAGGATCTTTGTGGGGTTCCTAATAAGCAAATAGAATGATTTTCATTTTAATGTGAGTACTCGGACACCACCTCTGTCTGGTTTATGGATATAGCATGTGATAGCTCATCAGGTCATCGACAAAAATTAAGTCCTTTAACTGGCAGAGGCATGGCCTACACAAGATTGGTTGAGGGTAGGGTAGAGTAAGGGAGGTGGTTTCTTTCAATCTCTCTCCTTGCCCTGAAGGTTTCCAGAAAAGAGACACTTGGACATGGATTGTCCAGTACCATAGCAATTCATACTTGATAGCATGGGTGACAGGGAAAAAATAAAGTAGATGGTAAGAGAGAGAGAGAGAATGTAAGTGCGAGAATGAGATAGAGATAGTTTGAGCTAAAGAGGGAGAAAATCAGAAACTAGAAAAGGGAATGATTGTGCAACAGCTGATGCTTATTAGACCCCTCTACCCAAGCACCAAGATAAGCTCTGCCATTTACCAATCACTTGACTGATACTCTCATGATGCTCTCAAAAAAAGAGTATCTAGATGACTTTGAGAAGAGAGAAATGCTTGAAGATAGTTGTATAGTATATTCTATGGATCAAGGGGTGTGAGATAGATATTGTTGCTTTAACTTCTTGAAAAATTACAGGAAAGTTTCTGGCATCCAGATGGAGACTGATGAACTAAACAAGGCCATAAGGTCATGAGACAGGTAGGGAAACAAACCCACCAAGTTTGACATAAGACACTAGGAATTATTGGCAACTACAATAAAAGTAAAAGCATTCTGACTTGATGCAACTATCAATACAACACTGCTGATGTAAAACAGTATTTGGTACTGGTTTACATGCCATGAAGCCATCCTGTTGTTAGCCCCAGTTTTGCACCAAGAGGAAATCACCATAACTTGTCACACTTGTTACTTCTCAGATGTTCCAAGTCAAGGAATCCACCACTCTGTGCTCTGGTCCAAAGATGATGTAAATTTCTTACAAGCCATTGCTGACACACAAAACCTCTGACTGACTAACATGCAAATTGCAGCTGAAACATGCACAGATGTGGAGCACGTAGCAGAGAAAAGAAACCAGTTGCAATGCTTGATCAATCTAAAATCTAGGATGAAAATACATGTGCAATGTATTTTGATGGGTTTTACAACTGATCAGGAGCACTGCAACAGGCCCAGAGGTTATGCTCAATTGGTGAGAATGGTAGCAAAATAATAACCTAGATGCAGTTGCCCACAATCAGAAGCTGTGAATTTTCAAGCCTCTACCCTTGTATTCAACATTTTCTACAGTTATTCCTTCTGTCTCCAACAAAACTAAGCATAGGAAGCCAATGAATCATTATGTTCCTTGAATGTCCTCAAAAACATCTTTAGCTCCAGATTCCTTGACTTTTTCAACTGCTCATGAATGTTGGGATATCATACAGCTGAGTAGGCTTATGGAATAATTTTTGCTGCTACAAATCAACTAAAATGAACAAAAACATGATCTTACAATATATAATAATATGATCATGCACTCTGCAACATTAGGTAGCCCAAATACATTCAGCAAGTCAAACAGCAGAGTGTTATCACAGAGCGAATGAGCCACTGCTCTACACAATTTTAAACTTGGATGAATTCTTGCATGTTGCACATCACCAGTGACTACTAAATGTTGACATGTGACACTGGCATATTCCACTCAAAAGAGAAGCCTCTCAATCATGCCACCAAGAGAGTTGTAATTTCAAGCTGTCTGAATCCCTCCCAAAGCCCAACTCCAAAGAGGTTCACATCAAATTCAGAAAGCTAAACACTACATGATTAAGCCTATTTGCCAATTATATTCTCATAATGGGATATGAGTTCTCTGCTTTTCCCCTTAAAAACCAGTTCAGGCAGGAGGGACCTTGAGCAAATCTCGTCACAGATGTGGCATGGGTCCATTGCTTACCTTAAATTTTATCTGCTTGCATGAAAAAGCAAAATTACCTGGAAGTGGTATGTAAAGAAATTTTGGCATCACAAGAAGAACAATATTACAAGTGCGATATCACACAGACGAGCAACCTTATCGCATGAGATCTGCCCAGTGCGGGACAGGACTTGCATGGATGGGCTCAATTAAATCGAGCTCGTTTGAGGGAAGGGGAGTCCATGACAACATCGTGAGGTGGAGATGCCCCACGCTTCACTCCATGTCGAGCAAACTCTTCACTCATGAATGCATTCAACTCCCCATAATGGTGATGGTGAGGGGGACTGCGTTTGATTCCAGGTGGCGATGCACCTCCTCGCAGGCTTCCAAGGTTTGACATGGCACTGTTTAGACCTATTCATAGGAAATGATAAAGAAACAGCTCTGAATTTTGAAGGAAATAATACAGGGGAGCATAGGTTACAGCAAGGACATCAGTACTGTAAAACCAACACTAGGTATGAACTCAGTTCAAAATTATCTGCTGTCCAACTAAGGCTGACTAAGCATCCACTTAGGCCTTCTGGCCTATTCAATAAACCAACTTTTGATGAAAGCTTGTTAATCAGAAATAATAAAGCCATTTCAAGTAATTTCTTAATTTTTGCCCTGCAGATATACGATTAAAAAATTGTTGTAGCAAATATTATTGTATCACTGGCACAAATACTGAAAGACATCTCCATGAGATAGAGAAGTTAAACCAAGAAAAATAATGCTGTAACTTCAGAACTGGACTGCACAACAAGAAACTTACTTGCAAGAGTGAGTGCCTCACGGAAAGTATGCAGATCAGGTTCTCCATTCCCATCGCCACTGAGTCTACGCTCTGGAGTATGGCGAGGCCGAGGAGATGCACTACAAGGGAAAGAAACCATTTCAATTCATACACAACCAGTATAAACCAACGAAGGATATGGTTCCCAAATGGTGGGTTGCAATCCATAGAATATGTGTACTTAGATGTTAAATGTGAGAAAAAATAAGTTTTGGAACCACGACATGACTACAGTTAGCCTATCTACCTGCAATAGGCAACATGTGAGGGTGTCCTGCCATCCTTTACAGAATAAATCACAAAGCTATTTTTCAATACATATATTATTTACTTTTCCTTCATTCCTAGCATGTTCCCAACAGTACACTCCCTAGTTTTCCCACTTGGGATGATTTATCCTTAATTGACCAATTTTAAAGGGGTGGCAGCATGACCATCACAAAAATATTTGAAAAGAACGTACATTTCCCCCATCCCTTTTTTCAGTCTTTGTCCCTCACTCAGTAACCACAATAAATCAGGTATGGGTCATGGAGCTGGTTTCCCATCCCAACTGGTTTCGTGCAAGATGGCAATTCCTAAATCTAAACTGCCATCTCACATTATCAGCTAAAACTTCTGCATCCCCAAGAAGTGGAAACTTTTGAAAACCGCATTCTCCAGACAATAAAGGAGCAAAGAGCTTAGCATAATAAGTTACTGTGATCACTACAAGTCACAGGGAGAGCATTGAGCAGAAATAAGCAATTGACTGGACTAGAACAGAGATCTCAGAGACCCAGGAATGGAGAAGCACAAGCATCAGCAGTACCTTCCTTTCCCTGATCAGGTATTCACAGAGATATACACATCTACAGTGGATAGATGTTCCATAAAGACACTTCAGTCACTTGCCACTTACCACTATGACTAACAGATCTATTTATTGCTTCCTCTATCACCAACTCATAAGTGAGAGAAAATGTTACTCCACCTTTAAAAATCTCAGCCTCTGGAATTTTGCTAATTGATTGTCATCATATTTGAGCAGACATAATAGTCTCTATTTGGTTTCTGGAGGTTTAGCAGCAGCCAGGAGCCACTACTCCAGATTCTGACAGGAATTAAAGTTTCCCATGGAGAAGCACAACAGATTGGACTATAATGAGATCTTCTCCTTGATCCAAAGTCTGGAATTCACCAAAACCATTAACCTTTTCACTGCAGCAATTGAGTATACTCAATGCCAGCGCACTGTGCTATGCCAGTATTGTGGGTGATGAATATACATCATCTCAATATATGAGCTGTTACACTGATAGGGTCCTTCTTTATGCAATACTGTTCAGAGACATCTTGAGCACACCTTGCTTCAAGAACAATACTTTTTCTTTGTCTTTTACATAGCAGAAAACCCGGCAGTCAAGAGGTTAGTTGGAATTTTCAAAAACCCTCTTTCCATTGGTAAAAACTGGGTGGGGGGGGGGGGGAGAGGAAATTTTAGGGGCAAAAAGAAACAGGAAAAAAAGTAACTTTTGAAGGCCAAGAAGGAAGGGCAGTTGAAAGGGATTATGTTGACTTAGAATGGGGAAGCCAAGTGTCACAGTTTATAATTAAAAAAAATTATAAACTAAGGCTAAGAACCCATATCTTCCGCTCTGAGATGAACTTTCCCTGCTAATGACAATTCAAGACACACAAAGGAGTCAGAACAATTATCAAAGGAAACTAAAAACTGCAGTACGATCATAATACCAAGATTGGAACACCCTAATGCAGTATTTGATACTGAAGCCAAGAGGCATAGTCCCTTGGTCACACTTTTCATGCTGTATATTACCAGATACAAGATATAAGAAATTAAAATATATTTCACCATCAACCAGAGACTTGTTTTTGCATCAGATAAAGCAGCTACACATATTTTCCCTGGTCTTACTTTGCCAAAAAGCAGAGTACTATTACAGATTAATTTCTCTAACACAAAAGTCACAGGTAACTTCACATCATACTCCATTCCCTATTAACTTAGATGTCTGACTTGACTTATAATTCTTTCCTCTCTTTGCATCACTGGACCAGGGAGATAATTTCACAACTAACAAAAATTCAGATAGCATCACCACAGGTGCTATTAAGATAATATACATAGCCATCTTCCTCAATTTGAAGGAAATGGAAGGTGCCTAGCTATCTGAATGCCTGAGCACCTCTATGGCATTCATTCTAAACTGCAATGATATGGTCCCCAACCACTTCAACTTCCATAGTCATGATACCCAAAGTTTTCCGTCATACCTATCCCTCTCAAGAATCAACAACTGAGTTAAAAGGCAAAAAAAAAAGGCATTTGTGCTAGCAATGGACATAGTCCCACCATCCACTTTCTGTTAATATCTCAATGCTTCTCATCATTCTCTGCAACTGTCAAGGTGTATCTTCTGTTTTACTGCTGAAGGTTTCAAAATGAAATCTTGACTATTGCTGCTAAAATTCTTTGCTTTAGAATTTTTCATATATGGTGAATATTATGAGAACAGGACCCTGGCAGCTTTACTATCTATTCTACATTCTCAGTTTCAGGAATGCACTTCAATAGCATGAATTCAATTATCAAATATTACCGATGATGATGATGATGAGAGGAAAATTGCCAATGTGAATGAGGAGTGGGGGCAGGGTTCTTCCCAGCAAGGAAAGAAATGAGGTCTTCCCTACGAATGTGTCGCCTCCTTCGTTTAGCCCATGCCAAGATGTCTCCCGTTCGTCTATGAACTCCAAGCTGGATCCCAAGTTCACGGCTACGCTTGATTCCTTCCATTGATTCTGTAAAGAATTAAGATTTTCAGTTGACACTCACCTTGATCAATAAATATATGTTCTGAAAAAAATTCATGAATGGAGAAATAAACAAGAATGCTTAGCTTTTGAAATCACTCCACCTAGCAAGCTGAGGCTTCATGTCTTAACTCTTCAACTACAGAGGGCAGCAGTGTGCCACCTTGCAAGCAAACAGTGCAGGGGTTTCCATATATGTAATAGCAGAGTGTGTTGTTTGATTTCAGACCATTATTTATGTAACAACGTAGCCCCAAATGACAGAGCCATTTGCAAGTGCATGGTGAAGTAATAAAACGTTGAAGAAGGATTTCAGAAATGTCTCTTTTTCAATTGAAATTATCCAACATATTCATGAAAGTAAGAAAATATTTTCACTTCTGGAGCTAAAACATTGTTGCACATCCAGCTAAAGATCACATTTCTTTGACTACACCCACTTTTAAAATCCACCAGAAGCTTCAATATTCTCCTCAGATGGATAGTAATGTTTTGCACTAAGATGTGCATGTTCTAAAAATTAAGCCACATAAAAATTTTTAAGTTTTTGCTATATATATGTGAAATTTCATGATTCAACAAGGAAAGGAAGACATCAAAATTTTAATATAACAGTCCTCTATTCTACCCCCCAAATCATTTATCACTTTTCTAAACATAGGCTGATTTCAAAATGGCAGTCCAGATGCAGTTGGGTTCTTGTTTCAGTTCAGACTTTGGTCCGATTGAAGCTCCACAGTTGCTATGGTCTACTTCTATCACGAAGAAATTCCAATTGGAACTATGACTGAAATAAAACTAGACTGTAGTTTTGAATTCAGCCATTATGGCTTTGGATTTAAAAAAATCAGTTACTCTTTTTTTTTTTACCCTCATATGTGGGGGCATTCTAGTACCAAAAATCCCATGGGAGGACAAAGCAATCACCAGCATCAAGTTTTCCATCCACACGAAAAAAATCCAGAGAAAGTAGTTGCTATCTGAATGGCTTGGCTCACCTTTATATAATGATGTGACAGTGCCTGCAGCAGCTTGGAAGGGGACCCAAATGGATACTCCTTGATGACGATCTGTTAAGGAAGAAGCAATAATGCAGAAAATGACATGGCTGACAATATGTCTAATTTGGTATGCCTAAGTCCCCCCAACTGGATTACATAAAAGAGGATGTTACTAATAATTGCATGAATGGGACTTTGGCAAATTTTTGACCAAACCAAAAGAGCTATGAACATCTGGGAAATGGTACTATCTAATGTTACTATTGGATAGATATGCAAGCATCTACTCAGCTCCCATTACCCTTCCATCTTAATTGGGGGTCAGCAGGTGACCCTAAATTTGACCATTTTGGAACATTTGACCTACAGACCCAATGAGGCTGAAGTTTGATATCTGAAGGTTTAGGAACTGGAGAACCAGGTATACCAGATTTAATCAAAATTGGAGATGGGAGGTGTAATTTGCATACTTTGGGGTGATTTGTTGCAGAATAGGGTAAATTGGGAGAATATGGCCATTGGGGTAACATGACCCCATTGAGATTCACTGATTCATTGAGAGTCATATTTTCACAATATTTGCCCTAACAGGCTGAAGGATAAGTTTTTGAGAATTTTGAAAATAGGACTATGGAAGAATACAGTCAACCCTAAATATAGTGCCACTCTTGCTTAGCACCAACTCTTTCCTGAGAACGAATCTTTCCTATAGGCATATCATTGATGACCCCCCATTATAGCACACCACCCTCACAAGCCACCACCCGCCAATACCTTGCTTTGCACAAATGTGCCTTATTCAACATAAGTCATGCTCAATATAGTGCCAAGCAGCATACTGTATCAGCTACAATGATTATACCATGCACTACCATGGTGGAAAAAAATGACATGCTGCTGGCCTTTCCTTTTGATCATTTGATAATGAGATTGTGAGGGATGACTTAGCTTTGGCACAGATGCCAGGGATTAGAGGGGGACGTAAGGAGTCTCTTAATCTGACCTAATCCTGCCTCTCCTTTTCTTTCTTTTGGAGAATGGAAACACCTCTTTCAGTTCAAAGTTTTTACAGACGATTGTTTAAATGTGTTCATTATCCAATAATGGGGAAAAGGACAGTTATTAGTGTGAGGGAAAAAGTAGAAGTGTGTCGTTACAAGGAGGCGCAAAGGCCGAAAGTCAGCAAAATATAGTGAATCACTTTTCAAAGCTGTGTAGTTTTTGTTCTCCATTGGCAGCATGGGTGAATTAAAGTAGATTTTCTTTTTGCTAATTCTATTATACATTTGAGTTATTTCAGAAATATTTTGTATTAAAGCCATGAGTTTTGATATAGCGCCGAAATTGGTGAAGACCAACAGTGGTTGTATATCGAGAGTTGACTGTATATGTAATAGCCAAAACATTATGCTGTGTGCATAGGAAAACAAGATACATCGATGTTTCAGACTGGGACAGACACGTGCAAGCAAGGACAATTGCCAGAAGTGGCTCAACATATAGTGAAGAGAAAAGGGGATCCAGCTTGGACATCTCTGACAGCATAGCCACACCTTACTACTGCTCTATTGCTCTGTCCTGTTTTCACAGGTCTGGGGAAGGTGATGGCAACTTAAATGCTGCTTAGCCATAAAGCCTTCCATTGCTGCACTTCAGGCCACCAGGTCCAAAGGTACTATTGATGCAGACCAAATCCCTACCTCTCACAGAGTGGCCTATGCTTCAGCCCAAGGGAGAGTAGGTAGTACCCAAAAGCAGCTGGGTGGGCTGTTGGCCCAGGAGAATAGTGCCTGACAATGGTTGGTTTTGAACCTGAACTTCCCAAGTGCCAGCTCAAGCCCTCATCCATTGAGCCACAGCAACAGTCAATGCTTTGAATGTTAGTTGCATGTCATTGCTCAACCCATGATACTGAAACTAATACCAACCTTGAACAACTTAACTGCATATTTCCTTAAAGCAGTATGGATACAAAACCATTTGTTCAGAGTTTAAAATACAGTCTCTCCAGAATACTTGAGAAAAATGCTTTACTTTGCACTTGCAACTTGTAGACAGTGCTGTCAACTTTGTCACACAAGCCAGCATGGGGAAACATGGCCACCTCAATCAGGGGTAATGTGGACACTACTTTGATTTTATGGAAGCCCTGCACTGACCTATCAGACCTTATAATCCTTATCTGTGCGACCTTATGCAGCAAGGAATCATCCTATGCACATCTGCTGGATATCTGCTGTGGACATACAAAAATCCACTGGTCATCCACATGAAATATGCAGCTATTACTGAAGCTCATGTTCACTTAGATCTCTGGGAGATCACCTGTCTTAACCAAAACTCTCCAAACACAGCCTCCTAGTCATATACAATGCTATTCATAACGAAAAGAATTGCAATCCTGCTTTTCATAATAGTGCTTGAAGCCACTTCATGAGATGAACCATAATACATCCATCCACTGGACCAAGGTTCAGGAAATGCCAATTGTTCATAATGATGCTGACTTTCTTGCAAGTCCACCATGCAGTCATTGTATTTTTCAGTTTTTTAGCCTCATTTCTCATGTTTTCCAGGTAGTCATTATGCACAAGTATTTTTCTTGGGTTGTTTTTTGAGAAGTGGCTATATTTCCCCAACAATAGGGGAAATAAGGCCTCTCGGGACATACTTGACAAGGACATAAATACTCATTTCCCACATGGGGAAATGGAATTTTTTAGGGAAATTTTAATCTAAACAAAACTGAGTATGTTAAAGCAACTGTAGTGTATCATGAGTGTGAACCTTCCCCATAATTCTTAAAAGTTTCACATTTACAGGTCTCAAAGAAGCTCCACACCTGCACACTTCCCTCTTCCAGAAACAAATGCAACTCTGGTGGGGAGGAGTTTAGATCCAGCTGGACCAATGGCTCTCCTATGAACTTCTCTATTCTGAGTTTGGTATGGATTCCTTTGCTGCAATACAAATATGGAGTTGGACAAAGCAGAATTTTTTTATGTCTTTCTTACTCTTTCTGAAATATTTGTCTTATTCCTTCTCCTAGTATGTAGTTATACCTTCAATGCACCATGTTCCTGCTTGGGAACATATCTATTTGAATATATAATGGCTGGAAATAGCACACAGGTTAAAACCCCCAGATAGTGTCTAACATGAAGACCACCCAGAGCTCATTGTTTTCCAGCTAGTAAATGTCAAGAAAATAAATTAATTCATTACAAAAGCAAATAAAACTTGTTATACATAATCAAGTCTTGGTTTAAGAGGGAAGTAAAAGAAAATCTAGAAGAATAACTACCAAATAACTAAAGGCTGCGGCCCAAATGCACAAACCTCAGTCGGGTGAGATAAAGAGGCCTTTAAGCTAAAGAAAGAGCTTTTCCTCCCAAAGGAGTCCATGTATTTTTAAAGGACCATTGATTAAAAGGAGGTTTCAGCATTCAGGTTAAACCCTTTCATGGTGTAAGTTCATTGTAAGGATCATATCTTTTGAGATTGCTTTTGCACGTCTGAAAAACTAGCATTAAAATGCACTGTTTGATAACTCTCAACAAGGGCTATTAAGAGGATACATTGCTCTAGCAGGCTGTCATTCAAGCATATTGGATCAAAAGCAAGGTTGTGAAGAGAAAATTTTTAAAACAATTTCTGGTTATTCATCTACCTAATTCAGCCATGAAATTGTTTAATATTTATCCCACAAAACTGTTGAGAAGAATGAGAGAGGGGGTGGAAGCACATAAGAACTTACCACCCATCTTCAAAAAATGGACAGGAAAAGACACCTAATTTTGTAAGAATCTGAACAAATTATTTAAAGTCCACTGTAATGGCAGTGTTCATGACAATGCATTTAGGTATTTCAGGTGATTCCTCTTATATTAGAACATAGGTTGACTTTATGTAAGGCATAAAATACATAAGATGGAATAAAATTTTTCTATCAAAGGGGAATGAAAATGCAGAAAGCTTCAAACCTGACTGCAAGAGAAACTACTTCAAAATAGCTAAGAGAGATTAACTAAGTGTAGAACAGTTCCTTCTTAGCATCCAGAAAAATTAATTGAGATAAGCCTAGGCTCTACTTGAGAATCAACAGAAGCAGAAACCATATGTTATCTGTGATGCCATTGAAACGGCTAAAGCACTTAGAATATAAACAAAAAATGCACAGAAAATGGCAACTTTACCTCAAGCTTCAACTTATTTGCCAAGTCACAGTGACAGTTATATCACACATTTTGGCAGAAGATGATTGAAAAAATGTGTGTTAGCTAACTAATCAGGGCTTACTCTGACTATAAGCATTTGTGGACCTAAATATAGGTTTAACATTAAGCTCATCTTAGGTCTACAAGATACTCAAGCTGGGCCTAAGGTCTAACGTTAAATCTTACCTTTATACATTTGAGCAATGGAAGTGGCTGAGTTTTGAAAGAGGTAAACCAATTTCTGATTCATAGCATCAGTTTCAGATTGGATGAAAGCTTCCAGGTTGGATCCACTCTCCAATTCTTGCACAGCATCTTGTTCCCAACTGGAGATGAAACTGTCGCTCAAATCTTCGTTCACAGGAAGATCTTCGGCCATATCTTTGTCAGCTAGATTCCCCAATGCGATTTAACGAAACCAGGCACGGGTTGGAGTAGAACTTGGGCTTCCCTCTTTACGAGGCCTGGGCCTAGGCCTCGCCTATCGTAGGCTTAGGCCTGAAGCCGATGGGCCTAAGAGCAGCCTAACGTCTCCAATTAATGGGTTTCAGGATTCCTCGTCTGGAAACTTCTGATCATGGTTATTTTCCAGTCGAAGCGTTACGACGAGCTGAAAGAGGAAAGATGGGAGTTGAATATGAAAAAATCGGGGAAGGCAGCTGACGATGCTGTCTGGACCGTGCAGAGGAAGGAGCGCGTACTCGATTCTTCTCTTTCACCACATACCTCTGAGACGGACATGTTATCGCAGGATGAACGTGCCTTAATTCCACTCTCATTGTATTGTTGCCTTCATAGGATACAGGGAGAAATGTCTATCGTAAGGCGTGATACTGCCTTTTACAATGTTTCCTACTTCAGTCAGACTGTTTTTCACTTGACTCAATCACTTGTGCAATGAATGTTCCTTATTTCCTGGATTTAGTTTTTGCGACGAACGACGATCTGGCACGAGACGTTAAGGTACAGGATAAATTGGGAGATTCGGACCACTCCGCGATCACGTGGAATATCAAGCGGACGAAGAGTAACGCAAAACTGAGGAAGATTTCGCACAACTATGAGAAGGCTAATTTCTAGAGACTACGCGAATGCGTTTCAGGCATCGACTGGGAGGCGCGGCTCCGTGGGCTGACGGTAGAGGAGCAATGGGGGACGTTCGAGACGTTATTGCAGGGCTTTATGGAGGAATGCATCCCCAAGAAATCCATAAAATCGGGCAGGCAACCGGTCTGGTTTAGGGGTAAAATCAAAGCTCTCATCAGGGATAAAAAGCGGAAATGGATGCGTACAAGCGGACTGGAGATAGCACGGACCATGAGGAATATAGGAGGATCACGCGGACGTTGAAGCGGGAAATTAGATCTGCGAGACGGGAGGTCGAGGAACGGCTGGCTGGCGATGCTAAGAAGAACCCTAAGGCTTTTTATCAGTATCCTAGTGGTAGGTGTCAACAGTCGATCGGGCCACTAATGAACGAAAAGAGGGAGTTGATTGCAAGCGATAAGGATATGGCCAATATACTTAACGAGTTCTTCGCTTCCGTTTTCACTGTGGAATCCGACTCGGCA